TACATATAATATTTAATAAAAGTATCGACATTTATATTTTTCCTTAAATATCACTTTCTACCTGTAATCGGTCTCAAATGTTTCTTTACTCTAAACCCCAAACAACACATAAAAACCCTATCGCGATTAATGTAATAATAAAAAATTAGGGTTTCGACAACATACTTTTCGATTCGACTGCAGCAACAAACAAACAAACTTCGCTTTAGAAACGCCTTCTGAAATGCAGCAACAATTACGCTTCGATTTCAAAAACTCGCCCGTTCTATATATTTTCAGAGGATATTTAGCTATGACCTTTATATTTTCATCGGATATGTTATTTATATTTAATCGATACAAATACAAAAGAGTCGATACTTTTATGTCAAGTGTCGATACTTTCGAAAGGATAATTACGTATTTCTTTGAAAGTATCGATAATTTATTACACGTACTTACGAAAGTATCGACACTTTTAATATATCCGGTATCATTTTACCGGTTTTATCATTTTGATACCGGTTTTATCATATTTTTACATGTTAGATCGTTGTTAGATCGATACATTTTTTTAAAGTATCGACACTTTATAGGCGCTAAAACTGCTTCTCTTTTAAATTCACAAAGTGTCGATCCTTATATAAAGTTTCGACACTTTCAATATATTCGGTAGTGTTTTACCGGTTTCATCATTTTGATACCATATTTATCATATTTTTACCTGTTATATCATTGTTGATCGATATATTTTTTGAAAGTATCGACACTTTATGGGCGCTAAAACTGCTTCTCTTTTAAATTAACGAAGTGTCGATCCTTATATTAAAGTACCGACACTTTAAATATATTCGGTACCGCTTTACCGGTTTTATCATTTCAATACTGGTTTTGTCATAGTTTTACCTGTTATATCGTCGTGGATCGATACATTTTTAATCTGGATCGACACGAACCGACAAGTTAAGTTTACCGGTTGCACAATTTTTTAATATTTCTTCATGACTTAGACCTACTACATTATTATTAGTCAACATTTCCGATAACGCTAAACCAAATTTATTAAATATCTTTTAATATATCTGGTAACACCGTATATTAACCGTATATTAACCACCCGTTCATGAGACATTCCCGTTTCGTTCATAAAATGAAATGGGATTCATGGGAACAAAACGAGTCCATGTCTAGGAGGCCGACATGTCAACTTAACAGAGAATTTTCCTATTACGTGCGTTTTTCTCAAGGCAAGGTCACGAAGGCTCGATCCATCGTTTGTTTCCAGGAAACGAACTGTTTTGATCGCGAGTACATCATACGTGAAGCTGGAAGATGGATAAAGGTTTATGGACTGTACTGACTCTTATTTCTGTTACTCTGTTATCTACTAGATTTTTAAAATTTTTAGGATAAAGTATACATATAATAATTAATATTTGAATAAATTTTTATTTTTTATTAAAATTTCAGATATGCCGGTAACACTTTAATTCAATTTGAATCAAAATATAAAGGATTAGAATATTACATAGAACCATCTAATGATTAACTATTTTTTCGAAAACATTCGTCACATTAATGATTTAGACCATAATTAAGAACATAGTAAAAATCTTAAAAGATAATAAGTTTACAAGTTGTGGGGAGCTCCCATAGGTGTATCTAAAATATGTAAGTCCAAATAGAATTTACGAATCAAATATTACACAAGAAATTATAACGGTATATGTCCACTATAATACTCGAGATATACTCTGAGAATATCCTAATATGGAATCTGCAAGCTAGCAATGAGCTCCTTGACCAACATGGAAACACATACTGAACGCTGAGTTTATGAGTTAAATATCACACAAATAACACTACTATACTACATGCATTCAAAATATGAGCATCCTACAAGTATAGTCATGAACAAAAAGAAACATTCAACACACATCAATAGCAAGATCTAGGCCACATAGCATCGACACTTTGCTTAGATAGTCTACTCCTCTAGAGTACTGAAGTGTTTCTGTATCACATAACATCAATATCGATACTCAACCTTATAGTATATGTACTACTTCTTCTGATGATGTTGATACTACTCTGAGTATTGGTACTAATTTAGCACACTGAATTTTTTGATAATACGTAGTATCAATACTCCTACCTGGAGTATCGATACTACTTTCTGTGGTACTATTACTGCCTAGAGTATCGGTACCTAAATAACATTTGATGTTTACAAAATTACATAGGTATTGATATCTTTACTGGTAGTACCGATACCACCCCTTATGATATTAGTACTCCTTAAGTACCGATACCAAAGCAGCTCACTGAATTTGAATTGATCTTCTGGTATCGATACTAAATCCCGAATATATATACTCTATGAATAGTATCGATATCCCAAAAACATAATCGATACCATCTTTCATACCCTTATTATGAAAATAAGTGTCTAAATTATATATATATATAATTTTTTTCTGTTATTTAATATGTCTAACGTTAAAAACGTTATATTAATTGTAGTTTATCCTATTATAAGATTAATTATATGTTAAAAATTATGTTACATAACACATGTCACGTTTTAATAATTTTTAAAAATATTTAAAAAACTTAAAATATTATTTAATTTTAATAAAAAACAATATTTTCGAAATATAAAAAAACTTAAAATTTTCTAAAAAATCCTCGATCCTTTAAAATTCTTAACTCAAAGTCTGTTAGCGTCGTGCCAGTACTACTGTACGAATACCCACCCATAATCGGCGAAATCCACTATTGGCCACCCACCCCGTCACTGGTGTGAGAACAAATCATTTTGCACAAATCTCAACCCTCAATAGTTCTCTACAACTCGTTGACGCCGCCATCAACATTGGGAGAAAAGGGGAGGGAGGAAGCATTTGTATTCATTGGGTTTTTTTTAAATATATAAAATTTTATAGATTTTTTTTATTTTTTGAAATAATTTTTTAAATAAAACATATGTTGTAAATTAGATTTTTTTTACTATCGTTATGGTCAAAATATTTAAAATAATAATATTAATAATATTAAACACTTATATTATTAAAAAATTAAATACTTTAATAAAAAATATAATTTAAACAATTATTTTTATATTAAATCTTTGAATTTAATGTGAAAACGTTTTTCTAGTGAAACTTGAATTATTTGGTGGGGATTTCGTTCATAAAATGGAATGGGATTTATGGGAACAAAACGAGTCCATGTCTGGGAGGCCGACATGTCAACATAACCGAGAATTTCGCTAGTACGTGCGTTTCTCTCAAGGCAATGTCACGAAGGCTCGATCCATCGTTCGTTTCCAGGAAACGAACTGTTTTGATCGCGAGTACATCATACGTGAAGCTGGAAGATGGATAAAGGTTTATGGAATGTACTGACTCTGTTTTCAAGGAGCCAAGTAGTACTGTGAGCTGTCCCTGTTCGCAGGCAAGCATGCCCCTAGTGGGGAGTTGATGGGAAGGTGTTGCGGCCACGAGAGGAGCACCGTCAACGCCGAGAATTGGGAAAACCTGAAAACGACACGCCCTAAACGTAAAAACGAACGGAGCAAAAGGTAAAGGAAAAAAATGGTTTGACCAAATCTATTTGTCTCCAACTCCAACTTAAAAATTGTTGATTCCATTCATCTAATACGTCTCCACTCCCACCTCGTGTTTACTTAAACCACTCTTTAATTATGAGCTACTACTCAATGCCCAAAACAAATTACGTTATATTATTTCTTCAACCCATATTTAAAGTCAATTTTCATTTTAATCGTTTAATTATGAACTTTAGATTTAAACTTATTTTTTGTTCGTGTAAATTTTCACTATAATTGAAGTTAAAAGGATATATGCTAGGTACGTGGCATTTTGTTTGCGGTGTGTATGCAACGAATTATAGTAATTATCTGTTCCATTTCACCTAGTCACATTATATAATTTTTTCTGTTTCACTTAATCACACCATATACAAATATCATTTTACCTGTAAAAAAATTATTATATAAAACCTTAAATTCTTCTATGATTTGTATATTATGTTTAAACAAGGGTAGAAAACATTTACTTTTATAAAACGCATAATCAAATATTCATTTGGCTTAAATAAAGTTGAGAATTTAAAATAATATATAAAATTCAAATAAATCCGACACTTACAAACGTTGTAGTAATTAACTTGTATATAGAAAAAACCCTCGTTGGTTTTTTTATTCTCTTTTTATATTTGTGTCAAATTTATTGATCAATCCAAATTTCTCTTTTTTAATTTTGTTTAATTAGTAGCGGAACAAGTTTTAATGCTAGTTGCTGTTTGTCGGTTATCTTTTTTTTAATTTTTTAAATAAGAATAGTTATGCTTTTGTGACATGTTCTCTGTCACTATGACATATTTATCTATGTATTTGTAGCATATTTTTCTATGCCTTTTGGTGGTTTACGATTTTTTTTCGTTTTTTTTAATTTATTTTTTTCTCATGGTTGGATTTGACATCGTCACGACTGATCAAGATGACGGTTATTTATTATTATGATGATTGATGATCTTCCCTGCTTTAGACCCTCGGATTGATTTGGATATGATGTTTGTGTTCGTGGATAGTTTTATTACGTTGATTGACTTTGATTTGTGATTTATTAGTGATCTTTCAATAACTTAATCTCCTATTGTGGTTCGTTTACCGATGCAAACAGATTTGTTAATATCTTTATTTTATTCGAATGTTTTAATTAATATTTTTAATATTTTTTTTATTTGATCCTTATATAAACTAGATAACTAATTTTTATCTCAATAATAATAAAAATATCATAATTATATTTAAAATTTACGATTATTACTCATAAATTTTCATTAAAATTTTAAATATTTTATATTTATAATAAAACTAACAACTTTCTATTTAAAAAAAACGAAACGTTGTAGTTATTTCAAATATTACAGTAATGAGAGCAAAATCTATTTTTGCGTTTTCTAAGACGCAATATCTGTTTTAGGTTGTCAGAGTTACTTCCTTGTATAAACATCCGGGTTTTAGGCTTTATTTTGTTGAGAATTGAGAATCAGAGCTTAGGTTTTTCTTTCAACAGTGGTGCAACTGCTTTGTTATCAGCTGCGAACTACCCTTTCCTCTTATTCAAACTCACTTTCTCTACTCTTTCTAGCTTCTTCGTCGCCTCCCTCCTTTGTGTTCATTTATTTGCTCATGGCGGAGGTTTTAGACGACGGTGAGTTTTGGCTTCCGCCTCGGTTTTTAGCCGATGATGACTTGTTTATGGAGAAGAGTAAAATTAATAACAGTCACGACTCTTTGTTTCCCTACGACTTACCGTCGGATCTAAGTTCTCCGGTTGATTCCCTACTGGGTTCTTCCGAGACAGACAGTGACGAAGAACATTCACTCGTTCGGTTAACTCGTCAAATGGCTCGCTATACTCTTGAAGATGACTTTGGCGGCAACGACCCTGTGTTTTCCTCTAAAATCTCCAAGGTCTGTTTTTAATTGAACACCTAACTCTGTTGTAAAAGTTTTTGATTCGATTATGTTATTCACGTTTCATTGTTCCTCTTACGATTTTTTAGGATTGGGTCTCGTCCAGTTCTCCCGAATCGACCCTATGTGCGTTTAGCTCGAACAGCCAATCTCGAGTTTCATCGCCGTCGGGAACATGGACTCTGCTTTGTTCAGAAGCAGAGGTAGCGGCGAGGGTTACGATTAATGAAGAATCAAACGGTGGGTTCATTCACAAAGGCCTTTTAAGACCACCAGCCAAAAAGCCCTCGCTAAACCTCCCTCCCCCTGGCTCTTACCTTCATCAGCCTCTTTCATCGCGGGCCACTCAAGTAAAAACCTTATTGAACACAGCTAAAAAAAATGTTTTTTGCTGATATCCCCCCCTACAGGATTTTAATTTGGCTGTTTTTGCCCCCAGTTTCAGCAAGTGGACCAAAGCCAGCTATTAATGAAACATCATAACGTACAAGTTTGGGGAGGAAAGAAGCGGCAACATGCGGTCCTTCAAAACAGTGTCAGGGGCGGTAATGGTAGTAATAGGCCTATGGGTTTGTTCCCTCTTGCATGGCCTCCTTTGCAGCAGCCTCGAAATGGGGCTGTTTTCTTGGGCAACCCTACTGGCCAAAGGGAATGTGCTGGAACCGGTGTTTTCTTGCCTCGTCGTACTGCTACTGCTGGACCCCGCAAGAAGCAAGGTCCGTACATGTTTAAATACATTAGTAATAGGTATCTTTTGATGTTCCTATATCTGATTTTTTTGTTTGTTTTTAGCAGTTTGTCCTGTTTTAGTTCCAGCTCGAGTGGTTCAGGCCTTGAACTTGAATGTCGATAAGATTAACGCTCAGCCCCATCTTGTGTCTCGGTTTAAAGCGAGTGTCGCTACTGATAGTGGTAAAAAGAACTTCCTGAGCGAATCTTATTTGACATTCTACTTTGTGAATGTGTCTGTTGAGTTTATTTGGTTCGTGATGTTATTGTAGGTGGCGGATTGAGCCTTAGAAGTGGTGGGAATGACTTTGCTGAGAAAAACAAGTTAAGGCAAAAGCAAGGAATCAACTATGAGATTCGGCTACCTCAGGAATGGACATATTAATTCTAGTTTTGCATCCTTCAGAGCTCTGTTGTCAAAGCTTTGAACTTAGAAGAAAGAAGGGTGGAAGTTATTAGTTTATAGTGGAGGGGAAATAGTAGTTTAGAGAAAGAAAATATGGTTATTAGGAAGACGAAGATTGGATTTTTAGGTGAAAAATATAAAGGAATTTTACAGGGCAGTCGGTTTTTGGGCCGGGGGCAACTCTTTCGTAAGCTATGTTTTTGGGGTGATAATCTTAGCACCCCTATGCTTCTTAATCATTCACCCCTTTAATTAATCTTAACTATATTCAACCCCCATTTCATAGATATCCAACCAACCAAACCTGTTATTGAGGAGCTGCCAAAAGAAAAATATTAATGGAGATTAATGCAGTGTGGTGATTATTGATGGGTAAATTTATTGACAGATCATTTTTTTAAGAGGGGGTTTTGTATGATTAGATAGTAACACATACAATAAAAAGACATCGGTAAATGAAAGAAAAAAAGTGCTCCCACACGGTATCGATACAATCCCTAGTAGTTCGCGATTTAACTAACATGCATAACATTCTGCACTAGACGATACAAACAGTTAAAGAACCGAGGCCTGCAATTCCATAAGAATCAACAGAGTACTGCTAAATAAAACCCCAAGCAGCGGTCCGAGCACCTATGATAACCCAATCAAAACTCCCCAACGCCTCACCTGATACTGCACTGGACCTTCAATCCCCAGTCACACCAACACTCAAATGGAACACAGCTACTGAAGCAAAGCTTGGGCGCCTGACAGCCAAGTGTTCTATTTGAAGACTCCAACAACCACCTACAATAACGTCTCTAACCTCAACAGGGCCAACCTAGTTACTCCCAATTACTACAGAACAATTCCCATCAAATACTACCCACCCTTTCACTAAACTCTCCTAAACAGATTGCAGCCAACATCACACAACTACCCAAAGGCACTAATAAGCGGCCAAACAAACCAACTACCCAGGCTGCTGCTTTATCAAATCAACCAACAAACAAAAACGATGAGATACCAGCGTGTTAATTTGCCAATTAGGAGGACAAAAACTCCCTTAGGAAAGTGCTAGGCAACGCAGATTGCAGCTACACTCATGAACTCCACCTCTGGCACTTCAGCCATTAAAATCTCACCCTAACAACAAACAAGCAGATATCACCGAGCACGGACACTAATGCCATATTCACACACCCCTGCAACGGATAAACGTGAATCTAGGAGCCCCAGACTATAACCAACAAAGATAAAAAAGCAAGGGACCAATCTGCCTAGAAGGCCCAGCTAAAACAGACGACCGAAAAACAAGACAGGTACCAAACCCAATAGTAGAAGCAACCACAATCCATTGCACAACTGCTACCCCAAACCAGCATATGAAACAATATAACCGCGGGTCACCAAATTACATACCATCACCCTTCAGCAAGTAGCCTTGGCAGACTACATTCGGCGCAGACAAATGAAATGAACCCAAGACTATCATGCACACAAAAAACATGGACCCCAAACAAACCCAACCAACTCAACCAGCCAAGAAGCAACTAGAAATGTTAACAACATCAAAGGACGGTACCACAATTTAGAGACTGAAGCACTAGGCCACAAACAATCAGGAACAATTCATTGGCAGAGAAGCATAACCAACAATTAAACTATTGCAGCAATGGATTTAGGGCATCTGGACAGGTTAAGAGTCGACGGGCAGGCTAAAGGTCAATTGGCCTTGCACCAGAACCCTACCTGGCCAAAGCAGAGTTGTAAAGGTGGTCCTCACAGCACATCTTTTTGTTAAATAGCATATTCTACACAACCATATGGACCAAACGAACCCCAAAAAAACAATGTGCCATATCAATTTACCCATACGGTTCACCGGCTGATTTACCCACTGAAATAAGAAAGATCTGAGATTAACTGAGCAAACAAAATTGATGTTCCACTCAGAGACCCATCGCTGCCATACTCTCTACACCACGTGGCAGTGGCAAAATAAATGGTTTGTAGCCTCAACACTCTCATGGCATAGCACACAACACAAGTGAATATATCATTTATGGTAATTCATTATCCATTTATGTGCCGTAAGGAAAATTAAAGACGCCATTTGACGATTAGCAGCAGGAGAATTTGGAGATGTCCATTTCTGCAAGTTAAGTCTAAACCTGAGTTGCAAGTCACTCAAACTTAAATATTTTCAACTCAAAATAATTGGACTTCAGAATTCACCTAAATTAAAGTAGGATGAATTATACTCCTCTTCATTATAGTTTCAATGGATTTTTATTTTGGTTACTAAGTTTTAAAAATTACATTTAATCATAAAATGATGATTTTCTCATTTGATCAGCCAAATAGAAAAAGGCATAAGCAATTTTATTCTGCAAGCTCTTGATATTAGACAATACACTCCCATTTTTCAACTTACTTCTTTTAGCAACAAGAAGACCTCCTAACCAGAAATATCCATTTTGGCAATAATAGATTCAATCTGGATGAAGAGGAGAATGCAAAACGGTCCAAGCAAGCTCTCCTTCCATTCCAGCACCATTTTGCAGATACGAACACTCAACATCATCCATGAACTTGTTGGATCTATAGACCATTTCAGATGCTTAATGAAATTATTATTGTATCCAATTTCTCTCTTAGGGGTGATTAATGAGTTGAGTAGCTCGAAATTGATTCGATCAAAACTCGGTAAAAGTTTGACTCAGGTTGACTCAACTCAAACTCGAGTTCGACTTGAGACCTTAACGAGTTGAGTCGAGCAAAGTCCAACTCGACTCGATAAATTCGCGAACAACTTGTTAATTTTATATATATATATAATTTTTATTAGTTATCTCAAAAAATTATTTCATACACTCAAAAATAAAACCTTATTTATTATTTTAATGTATTTGTGGATTGTTACATTGGTGTTTAGACTTTAAAATTACTTCATACACTCTTTTGATAATTTTTTTGTTAAATTTATTAATTTATGTTTATATTAAGTTCTATATAGTATTAGTAGATTTTACCTATAGTTAAGAAAATAAGCTAAAAATTTCGGTAAGCTTAACGAACAACGAGACTGGCAATGAGTATCGAGCTTAACGAGTAACGAACTTAATGAGCAACGAGTTTAACGAGCACGAGTCAAGCAAAATTTTAATAAGCTTAACGAGCAACGAGTCGAGCAACAAATTTTTTTAAAGAGCATTAGTCGAGCACTGCCAAACTCACGATCGACTCGCTCGATAATCACCCTTATTCTCTCTAATATTTTCCAACATCTGTAAAACCTCGAGATATATGAGAAGACGACTCGGCCAAGGCAGAATTTAATTTTTGAAATATAGGGATAGATGATGGTTAAGAATTATTTTGAGATTTAGGTCATTTGTTATAGTGTAATAAATCTCGTTATGTGAATATGACGAGTTATATAAAATATATTAAAAAAATTAAAACTCCTTATGAGAGTTTGACGAGTTCTATGCAATTTTGTTCCATATCATATGATGTATTATAATTTTTTAATATATTTTATGAAACTCGTCACGTGATGTGAAGAGTTTCATGTGCATTGTAGTTAGAGTGTGTGCAAAAAGATCTGATATGATATGTTAATTTGATGATTCGGTTTGAAAATTCAGATATCTGATTCATTTTTTATTTTTTGAATAATTTGGATTGGATATCCGAAAAAAAATTAGGATAATCAGATCGGATACAGATCGAATAAATTTAATTTCGAATTATCAGAAAATTAAAAAAATGGGCTTTTAAATTTTAGATATCATTTAGCCCAATAAATGAATAACTCACTAATCAAATAAAAATTAGGGTATTTAATTATTTGTAGTATGTGAGTAATTATATATATATATATATATATATGTATGTATGTATCAGATAAGTTACATTAAATCACAAAATATAATTTTTTTTTCAAATTAAATTTTATAATCAGATTCGAATATCCATGTATCCGATCTAAAATTTAAATATCTGTTTTTTTAGATCTAATATGGATCACTATTAGGTATATGAAATTTTTGGATATCTAAAGTTTCAAATCGAATCGGATCCGATATTCGAATTTACACATCCTTGACTGTAACAAATGACTTAGATCCGAAAATAAACTTAAAAATATTTTTTTTGGAAAAAAATATTATAACATGAATCTAAGTTATTTGGACTCAACATTGAGGACAGTAGAGTTGGGTATTGGGCTGATTTGATTTATTGTGGTTGGGCGAAGCTACCGTCGACGTATCTGGGTCTTCTGCTGGGACATCCGAAGTGTTAAAAGTTTCAAAGTTTGGCAACCAACTTTGGAAAATGTTTTTTTTTTCAAAGTTTGGTAAATGTTTCTTTGAAAAATGTTTTTCAAAGTTTGGTAAAATTTTGGTAGATGTTTGTTGAAAATAGGAATGGGTAAATTCACTTTAGTCATTGCACTTTAGGGTATTTTCAAAGATTAGTCCCTAAGTTTCTACTATAAATACCCTTACCCATTTAGCTTCAAAATCATCCCAAAACATTTCTTTCTTCCTATACTAGAGAGCTTTCTTGTGAGTAGTGAGTGTTTTGTAAACACCTGTAAATTTTCTCTCTTAGTAAAAGATCTGCAGCAGCCCGGAGACGTAAGCACAATTGGCTGAACTCCGTTATCAATTTTCGGGTATTATTTTTCCGCTTTTATTTCGCATTCTCACTAATCTGGTTATAGGGAAATTACTTGTACTCGGTTTATTTTCCTAACAACTGGTAATCAAAGCTTTTGGTTGTGAATTTTTTCAAATTTTCTGCGAGGTTACCATTGATTACTATTCACGTGAATAGTGAATTTCGTGAATAGTGAAATTCGATCGGCGATACGAGTTTGTCGACAGTGGTGTTCTAATACACGGTGATTCGCAAGAATTGTCAGAAACGATCCAAACGAAGCCAGATTCGAGTGGGAGCGATGGCTGCAGACGAAGGGAAGGTGAAAATTGAAAAGTTCGATGGTGCGGACTTTGGTTTTTGGAAGATGCAGATTGAAGATTTTTTGTACCAGAAAAATCTATATCAACCTCTCTCAGGAAAGCAACCAGAGGGCATGAAGGATGAAGATTGGGCTCTTCTCGACAGACAAGTCCTCGGAGTTATCCGACTGACGTTATCCCGCAATGTTGCTTTTAACATAGCAAAGGAAAAGACCACGGCGGGTCTTATGGCGGCTCTCTCCAGTATGTACGAGAAGCCATCGGCCTCAAACAAAGTTCATTTGATGAGGCGATTATTCAATTTGCGGA